GCCACGGATGGACAGACAGATGCTGTCCCTGCTGCGGAGAGGAAGAGGAGGGCGAGCTGGAGCGCCGTGGCCACCCGGATCCAGAGAGCGGACCCCAGGCCAGCCATGCCACAAGGGACCAGCAGCAGGATTGGCCCCGTGGACCCAGCAGCCTGGCTGGGGGGCATTTCACGCTGGCTCCCGGGGTCTCTGTGCTGTGTCTGCACCCCTGTGAGGCCGACCCAGCGTTGCTGACAGATGAGGTCACCGTTGGCGTGTCACTGCCCTTGTCCAGTGCACCGCATGGCACAGACCAGGTCTCCATCCTCCTCTCTGCGTTAGTCGGGGATCATGCGGGGGGGGTTCACAGAATCACAGAATCCCAGCATGGCAGGGGTTGGAAGTGACCTCTATGGGTCATCTAGTCCAATCCCCCTCTGTACCAGGGGGCTGCTTTGGGGGGTGTTTCCTCCTGGTGGTGCCCAGGTCCGGGGAGAGGGGTGGCTGGAAGGGCAGGGGGAGCGGGCAGGAGCTGCCCAAGCTCCCTGCACTGGCTCAGCTGTGCCATTCCCTGCAGCTGGTGCAACAGGATGGCTACGTGCTTCCCTGCAGGAAGAGTCCCTGCAGCGGGATACGGGGACGGTACCGCTCCTCCGTGGGTCTGGCCATGGGGAGGGAGCCCTGAGGCACTCTCACGGCCGAGAGGTAGCTGTCTTCCATCTGGCAGGAGGGATCCCCAGTCACCCTCATCCCTGAGGAGCTGCTACGGCTTTAGAGCTGACTCGGGATGAAGAGAGGGGCTCTTCTCCCACCTGCTCATCGCAGAAGCTCGTGGCTCACCCTGCCAGCCGGTGATCGGACGGCAGCTCCTTGGATTTCAGAGCCAGGAAGGTCTGCACACGCAGGCTGCATGATCAGATCACCCCATCTCCCTCCTCCTGGCAGTGTCCAGCATCGCCCTGCCAGGAAAGCTGTGGGTGTGCGTCTGCCGGGCACCGTGCTTCCGTGGAGAAGGTCCTGGGTGCTGCATCCCACCTGGGTCAGGCACTGGGATGGTCGATGCCGCAGAGCATCCTTGAGTCTTCGGTATGGAGCCGCCGAGGTAGACGCTGCTGGGTGGAGAAGCGGGGCTGGTGGAAGAGCTACGGTGTCGCTGCGGAGTGGGTAGAGCAGAGGCACCACGGGTGTCCGAAGGGCAGGCTGAGGGTTGCGCTGGTGGAGGATTGTCACGGCCGCACCCGGGGATGCCATTTTCAGTCCTCATGTACCACAAGGGAAGAAGCCGGGGGGACGTTGCCGTTAAAGGCTACAGAGCCCATGAGAGGTGCCTGTGAGCTGTGTCACGGGGTTAGTTTGTTCTGTAGCTCCGCCACTGCCCCGGTTCTGGACGTATGGGGACAGAGTGTGCTGCTGGGACCCCTGCAGCGACGTGTTCAGCCGTCTCGCCGGTGCGAAGGGGCTGCAGCATACGCAGCTGCCCATGCCAGATGACCATGCTGGGGGCTGCTGAGCTCCAGGAGTTGCCAGCACTGCTGGGAAACCACAACTGGGCACTGAAAAGGGAGCGTCCGGACCAAAGGGCAACTCCAAGAGGGATGGTTTTTGCACAGATGTACGCACAGCCTCTTCCTCCCCTGCCTGGCTTGTTCCTCCCCGCCTGAGCCTGCACCAGCCCGGCCTTGAACTGCAGCGACTCATCCAGCACCGGCAGCAGCCCCAGAAAGCTGCTGCTGCTGCTTCTCCCCCGCCCAGCCCCCGAGAGGAGGTCGTGCTGCCACGCCGTCTGGGACCCACCACGCCGTCCAGGACCCGCCGTGAGCTCCTGCTCTTCTGGCCTGAGGACTTGCTGGCTGTGGGAGTAAAATTCCCTGTGGGGACACGTAGCCCCAGGAGCAGGGATGGTAGCCAAGGCTTGGATGGGGTTAGCCACCCCGCGCTGCTTGCTCACGCCTTTGGCTTGCCTCTCCTCTCTCCTAAGGGCCCCCCATCATCGAGAAACTGTGTGAGCTCAGAGCTACATAGCTAACAAATGGCAGCCATCCCCACGCCGTGTCCAGGAGCTGCAGGAGCAAGTGAAGTTGGTGCTGCTGCGTCTGTGCCTTCCCCGGCTGCTGCGGGGCCAGGGACGAAGCCCACCTTGTCTCGGGTCTTTCTGAAAGCTGCCCCGTCTCTTGGGATGGGGCAACTGCCTAAGGACAGCACAGTTGGGCCCGTGGCGGTGGCAGTTACGTACCACAAGGGTATTATTTTTTTCTTTTTTTTTTCTGTTTAAACCACTGTGTGCTTCTCCGGGCGGTGGGTTTGGTTTGGGGCGGGGTGTTTTGGAGGGCTGTTTGCAATGTGCAGCCCCCTGGGCCGGAGGGCTTGCAGATGGGGAGCTGGGACAGCGGGTGAGCACCACGGGCAGCCGCTACGGCTGGTG